GTATGTACTAACATTCACCAAAGAACAAACACAAATGTTCACAATGGCACGCAAATATTATTTTCTATGTCCATTGTTTTTGTTGTTTAATACATATATTTGTTAATGCTATATATGGGTCTTGTTTGTTTCTTTTTCATTTTTGGACTTCAATTTGAAATGCTAAATTGTTTTTTAATAGTTGGACATTCTAGCAGGAAATATACGCACGCGTTTCTAATTCAACAACACACAAACCTACACGGTCCTCTACATATGCAATAAAATCTGACATTTAATGTTATGAGAAATATATAGTACTGTGGTTTCCCTCTTGTCTTTTCTACAAATACTTTCATGGCAGTTGTTTTGATGAGCTTTCCCCCTCCATGCCTCGACTGCCTGAGTTTAAGCTTACTACTAGATTGGTAATTAGGTCTCACCATTTTACTGTTGAACTAGTTGGATGTTATCGTATGTTCTATTCTAATAATTTGTTTTCTCTCACTTATTGCCTGTGGAACTCTCTTCCAGTTTCTTGCTTCCCTACCACCTACAATCTTCAAAAATTTAAATGTCTATCTGTCATCGTCTGTCTTCCTGAAACTTGTTCTTTTATCATCCTTTCTCCTCACTAAAGTCTTCTCATTCTCTTTCACTTCCAATAACCCCTAGTGTTTCAGTGGTATTGCATGGGATGAAATCATTAAAAAAAAGAATAAACCTTTTTTTTATGAGTGAACATTGCATTAAGTTTTTTTTTTTTTTTAGAATACAAATAATTTTTCCAGATACAAGTCCTACTATTTAATGTATAGCTGCAGGATGCTTGGAATTGCTTTATAATATCATGATCTGAATTTTTAAATATTTTACTTTAAACAGCTAGTTTAAATAATTTGAGGCATTGTATTAATTTTGGTATTACCGACATCTAATCTTCATCTTATATCAAAAGTCTGATATGAAATACCTACAATCTTCAAAAATTTAAATGTAATGCCAATTCTGTCTTCCTGAAGCTTGTTCTTTTATTGTCCTTTTTTTCTTATTAAAGTATTCTCATATTCTTTCATTCCCGGTCGTTATGTATTAGTGGCATTATCGCCATCTTTTGTCTACCTGAATCCTGTTCTTTCGTTGTTTTCTCCTCACTGTCTTCCCTTTCACTCTCAGTAACTCTTTGTGTCTTAGTGGCATTATCACCTTGCTTAAAAATCCATTAACCTCTGAAAAATGATGCATTTCAACTCAGAATCGGTACCATTAAAAAAAAAAAAAAAAGATTAAAAATATAAAAATCCTTTAACCCCTGAGAAATTATGCATTTCCATTCAGAATCAGTGCCACTAAATTATAGGAGCAAATGATATAATGAAGTTGTACAAATTTCACTGAATTGTCTAAATTTAAAATATGAGAATTCGAAAAGGAGAGCAGTGCAAGTTTCTATCAGATGAATCTTGAATTGAAAGATGCAATTATAATGAAGTTGTCATAAGATAATTTTCTTTCATCAGGATCTGATGTGTTGAAAAGTTAGTTGACAAGTTATGAATCATTACCAAATGAGATTTTCCCTTGGAGTTTCACTCCATCCCTAGTCACTTTTTGTGTTCTATTTAATCTTTAATCTATTCTCCTTGGATTCTCTCACGTTTTTGTTTGGCTCACTTATTGCTCATTCTCTTGAAATTTCTGTTGTACGCCCAACTCACTGTTTATTTTCTCTGTTTATTTTGTTTTGTCTCCTTTACTCTTTGTTTTCTCTTATTTATTCTCTTATTTTTGCTTTCTGATAATTCCTTTTCTCTCCACTTGTGTTTTCTCATTTTTGCTTTTCTTTTCTACTTTCTCTCTCGCTTTTTTTTATTGCTTTCTCTCTTTCTTCTTATTTTTGTTTTTTCTTCTCTTTTTTGCTTCTCTCTTTACTTTTTTTGCTATCTCTGTTCCCCTTTATGATTTCTCTATTCAATTTTTTCTTTCTCTTTCTCTTTTCTCTTTTCTCTTTCTCCTTTCTCTTTCTCTTTCTCCTTTTCCTTTCTCTTTCTCCTTTTCCTTTCTCTTTCTCCTTTTCCTTTCTCTTTCTCCTTTCTCTTTCTCTTTCTCCTTTTCCTTTCTCTTTCTCCTTTTCCTTTTCTTTTTTTTTTTCCTTTCTCTTTCTCCTTTCTTTTCTCTTTTTCCTTTTCCTTTTCTCTTTCTTTTTCCTTTTCCTTTCTCTTTTTCCTTTTCCTTTTCTCTTTCTCCTTTTTTCTTTTCTTTTCTTTTTTTTTTTTTCTTTTCTCCCTTTTTCTCTTTCTTTTTCTCTTTTCTCCTTTTCCTTTCTTTCTCCTTTTGCTTAATCTCTTCTCTTTTCTGCTTTCTCTCTATCCCTTTTTATTGCTTTCACTTTCCCCTTGTTACTTTGTTTCTCTCTCTCTCTCTCTCTCTCTCTCTCTCTCTCTCTTTTCTATTTTGCTTTCTCTCTCTCATTATTGTTTTTTGCTTTTTTGCTTACTCTATTTCTTAATTTCTTTCTATCTTGCTCACCTCTCTAACTCTGCTTTTTTTTTTTATTCTCTTTTCTGCTTATTTTACTTTCTCTCGCTCTCTCTTGCTCTCCTCTGTTTTGCTTTCTCACTCTTTCTCTCCTCTATCTTGTTTTCTCACTCTTTCTCTCCTCTATCTTGTTTTTTTTTCTCTCCTCTATCTTGTTTTCTCTTTCTTTCTTTCTCTATCTTGTTTTTCTCTCCTCCTCTATTTGTTTTTTCTCTCTTTCTTCGTCTTTCTCTTGTTTTTCTCTCTCTTTTCTCTCGTCTATCTTGCTTTCTCTCTCTTGCTCTCGTCTATCTTGTTTCTCACTTTTTCTCTCCTCTTTCTTGTTTTTCTCAACTTTTTCTCTTTATGTATCTTTCCAATCTCACTCTTTCTCTCCTCTATCTTGTTTTCTCACTCTTTCTCTCCTCTATCTTGTTTTCTCACTCTTTCTCTCGTCTATCTTGTTTTCTCTCTCTCTTTCTCTCGTCTATCTTGCTTTCTCTCTTCTTTCTTTCGTCTATCTTGTTTTTTTCCTCTTTCTCTTTTCTTCTTTTTTCTCCTCTTTCTCTCGTCTATCTTGTTTTCTCAAACCTTTCTCTCGTCTATCTTGTTTTTCTCCTCTTTTCTCGTCTATCTTGTTTCTCCAATTTTCTCGTCTATCTTGTTTTTTATTTTCTCTCTCTTTCTTCTCGTCTTTCTCTTTCTTGTTTTCTTTCTCTCGTCTATCTTGTTTTCCCTCTTTTGTCTATCTTTTTCTCACTCTTTCTCTCGTCTATCTTGTTTTCTCACTCTTTCTCTCGTCTATCTTGTTTTCTCACTCTTTCTCTCGTCTATCTTGTTTTCTCACTCTTTCTCTCGTCTATCTTGTTTTCTCACTCTTTCTCTCGTCTATCTTGTTTTCTCACTCTTTCTCTCGTCTATCTTGTTTTCTCACTCTTTCTCTCCTCTAACTTGTTTTCTTTTTCTCTTTTTCTTGTTTTCTCATCTTGAAATCTCCTTTATTTGTTTTCTCAAAATTTCTCTCGTCTATCTTGTTTTCTCACTCTTTCTCTCGTCTATCTTGTTTTCTCACTCTTTCTCTCGTCTATCTTGTTTTCTCACTCTTTCTCTCGTCTATCTTGTTTTCTCACTCTTTCTCTCGTCTATCTTGTTTTCTCACTCTTTCTCTCCTCTATCTTGTTTTCTCACTTTTCTCTCGTCTTCTTGTTTTTTAAAAAATTCTCTCGTCTATCTTGTTTTTAATACCTTTCTCTCTCTTTCTTGTTTCTCACTCTTTCTCTCGTTGTATCTTGTTTTTCATTTTTTCTCTCCTCTATCTTGTTTTCTCAATTCTTTCTCTCGTCTATCTTGTTTTTCTCACTCTTTCTTTCGTTTATCTTGTTTTCTCCTCTTTTTCTCGTCTATCTTGTTTTCTCCCAAATTTCTCTCGTCTATCTTGTTTTCTCTCTCTTTCTCTCGTCTATCTTGTTTTTCTCCTCTTTTTTTTTCTCTCGTCTATCTTGTTTCTTCCTTTTTTCTCTCCTCTATCTTTTTTTTTCTCACTTTTTCTCTCCTCTATTTTGTTTTTTCTATTTTCTCTCCTCTTTTTGTTTTCTTAAGCTTTCTCTTTTGATTTCTTTCTCTCTCTCCATGCTTTGTCTATTTTGCTTTCTCTCTCTTGCTCTCAATATTTTGGCTTTTCTCTCTCTCGCTCTCCTCTATCTTGATTTCTCTCTCTTGCTCTTCTCTATTTTGATTTCTTTCTGTTGGATTCCTATTTTTACCTTTCTTTTTTTTAACACCATTTTTTTTTTTTGTTTTGCTCTTTTTTTTGCTTTCTCTCTCTTTTACACAATATTTATATTTTTTTTCTTTTTTGCTGCTTTTTTGCTTTCTCTTTTTTTTCCTCTTTTTGTCCTTTTGCTCTCCTCTTTTTTTATTTCTTTTTTTTCTTTCCTTTTTTTTGCTTTGTCCTCTTCTTTCTTTCTCCTAAAGAACTTCTTTCTCTCTTGCTCTCCTTTTTTTTCTTCCTCTCTTGCTCTCCTTACACCTCTTTTTTTCTTTGCTCCCTCCAGGTGCTTTGTCCTTTCTCTCTATTGCTCTCCTCTTTTTGTTTCTCGCTATTGCTCTCCTCTTTTTGTTTCTCTCTATTGCTCTCCTCTTTTTGTTTCTCTCTATTGCTCTCCTCTTTTTGTTTCTCTCTATTGCTCTCCCTTTTTTATTTTTCTCTCTTGCTCTCCCCCTTTTTTATTTTTCTCTCTTGCTCTCCCCCTTTTTTATTTTTCTCTCTTGCTCTCTCCTTGTTTTTGCTTTCTCTCTATCTTGCTCTAGTCATTTATACTTTCTCTCTCTTGCACTCATGTTTTTGGGGTTTCTCTGTTGCCCTCTTTTTTTTTGAATTCTCTCTCTGGCTTTTCTTTTTTGTTGCCTTCTCTTTTTTGCTCTCCTCTTTTTTTGCCTTCTCCCTCTTGGTCTCCTCCTTTATGATTTCTCTCTATTGACCTTGTCTTTTTTGCTTTCTCTCAATGTTGCCCTCATCTTCTCTATCGTGCCCACATCTCATTTACTTTCTCTCTCTCTCTCCTAATATTTTTGCCTCCTCTCTTTGCCAAGATCTTTTTTGCCTTCTCTCTCTTGCCCTCATTCTTTTTGCCTCGTCCCTCCTGCTCTCATCCTTTTTGCCTTCTCTCTCTTGTCCTCGTCCTTTCTGCCTTCTCTCTATTGCTGTCATTTTTTTTAACTTTTCTCTCTTGCCGTCATCTTTTTTGCCTTCTCTCCTGTCTTCATCGTTTTGTCTCTTGCACTTCCTTTGGATTTATTTCTCCTTTCTTTTTTTTTGCTCTTTCACTTTCTCATGTTTTCTTTTTTGCTTCCTCCATCTTTTTCACTTTTTTTTTTCATTTTCCTTTTGTCTCTTGTTCTTGTGCTTTTTTCCTTCTATCTCCTGCTCTCATCCTTTTTGCCTTCTCTCTCTTTTCCTCATCCTTTTTGCCTTCTCTCTCTTTTCCTCATCCTTTTTGCCTTCTCTCTCTTTTCCTCATTCTTTTTGCCTTCTCTCTCTTTTCCTCATTCTTTTTGCCTTCTCTCTCTTTTCCTCATTCTTTTTGCCTTCTCTCTCTTTTCCTCATCCTTTTTGCCCTCTCTCTCTTGCCATCATCTTTTCCGCCTTCTCTCTCCTGCTCTTATCCTTTTTTCCTTCTCTCTCCTGCTCTTATCCTTTTTTCCTTCTCTCTCCTGCTCTCATCCTTTTTGCCTTCTCTCTCTTTTCCTCATCCTTTTTGCCTTCTCTCTCTTTTCCTCATTCTTTTTTTTTCTCTCTCTTTTCCTCATTCTTTTGCCTTCTCTCTTTTCCTCATTCTTTTTTTCTCTTATTCTCTTTTCCTCATTCTTTTGCCTTCTCTCTTTTTTTCATTTTTTTGTTTCTCTTCTCTCTCTTTTTCCTCATTCTTTTTGCCTTCTCTCTTTTTTTCCCACCAAAAACCTTTTTTCTCTTTTTCCTCATTCTTTTGCCTTCTTTTTCTAAACTCTCAATTTTTTGATTTAATTCTTTTCCTTTTTCTTTTTTGACAAAAAAAATCCAAAATTTTTCTCTTTTCTCTTTTTTTCTTTTTAAAAAAATGTCTCTTTTCTAAAAAAATTTCTCTTTTAATACACAACACAAACTTTCTCTTTTCAGGATTTCACCTTTTTTTTTTCTCATATTTTTCCATTTTCTTTTTTCTTTTTTTCCTTTTTTTTTTCTTTCCATTTCTCTTCCATTTTCTCTCTTTTCTTTCTTTTTTTTTTCTTTCTTTTTTTTTTTTTCTTTCTCTTTTTTTTTTCATCATTCTTTTTCATTTTTTTTTTTTTTTCTTTTTCTTTTTTTTTTTTTTTTCTCCAAAAATATATATTTTTTTTTTTCGTTTTCTTTTTTTTTTTAATTTTTTTTTTTCTTTTTTTTGTTTTTCTTTCTTTTTTTTTTAATGGGATATTTTTCTTTTTCTTTCTTTTTTTTTTTTTTCTTTTTTTCTTTTCCTTTTTTTTTTTTTTCTTTCTTTCTTTCTTTTTTTTTTTTTTTCTTTTCTTTTTTTCTTTCTTTTTTCTTTCTTTTTTTCTTTTTTTTTTTCTTTTTTTCTTTTATCTTTTTTCTTTTCATTTCCTTTTCTTTCTTTTTTTTTTTTTTTTTTTTTTCTTTCATCCTTTTTTTTTTTTTTTTTTTTTGTTTTTTAAAAATCAATCTTTTTCTTTTTTTTTTTTCTTTTCTTTCTTTTCATTTTCTTTTTAGATTTTTTCCTTTTAATTCTTTAATTCCTTTTTTCCATTTTTTCAATTTTTTTTTTTTTTTTTTTTTTTTTTTTCTTTTTTTTCTTTCTTTTTTGGTTTCTTTTTTTTTTTGTTTTTTCAATTTTTATTATAATTTTTAGTTTTTTTTTTTTCTGTTCCTTTTTTTTTTTTTTTAATAATTTTTCATTTTTTTTTTTTCTTTTTTAAATTTTTAAACAAAATTTTTTTTTTTTTTAAAATCTTTTTCTTTGATAAATTTCCTTAAAATTTCTTTTAATTTTTTTTCTTAAATTTTTTTGATTTTCTAATTTTCAATTTTTTTTTATTTAAAAGAAATTCATTTTTAAATTTTTCAATTTTTTTTTTAAATTTTTAAATAATTTTTTTGTTTTTATTTTTAATTCATTTTATTTTTTAATTTATTTTTTTCTTTTCTTGAATTTTTATTTTTTTTTTTTTTTTCCAATTTTCTTTTTTTTTTTATTTTTTCCATTTTATAAAATTTTTTTTGTAAAATAAATTTTCTTTTTCTTTTTTTTTCCGTCAAATTTCTTTTTTTTTTATAAAATTTCTATTCATTTTAAAAAAAATTTTTTTTTTCATTTTTTTTTGATTTTCTCGTTTTTTTCAATTTTTTTCAAAAAGGTTTTTTTTTTTTTAAAACTCTTCCTTTTTTTTAAAAATTTTTTTGTTTTTTTTCTTTTTTTTTTTTTTTTTTTTCCTTTTTTTTTTTTTTTTTTTATACATTTTTTTTTTAAATTTTTAATTTAATGATTTTTTTTTTTTTTCTCTTTTTTTTTTTTTTTTATTCAAAAATAACATTTCAATATTCTTAATTTTTTTTTTTTTTTTTTTTTGAAATTTTAAATTTTTTATTTTTTTTTTATGATTAATTTTTTTTAACATTTTTATAATTTTTTATTTTACATAATTTATTCTTTTAAAAAAAAGATTAAAAATAGATTTTTTTTAAAATTTTTTTTTTTTTAAAAAGGTTATCAATTTTTGTAATTTTTTTTTTTTGGAATCATGTTTTTTTTCATATAATTCATATTTATTTTTAATAAATATTTCTTGTTTCTTTTTCATAAAATTTTTTTTAAAAAAACATTTCTTTTGAAATTTTTTTTTTTTTTGAAAAATACTTTCTTACTTATCTTTTTTTCCTCAAGAAATTGAAATATAATTCATAATCTTTTTCTCTTTGCAAAATGGCTTTTTTTTCATTTTTTTTTTCTTTCATTTCATTAATATTAAGGAGTAAAAAGTTTTTAATATTCTTTTTTTTTTTCTTTTATTTATTTTTCAATTTTGTATTTTTTTAAATTTTTTTCAGGATTTTTTCAAAAATTCTTCTTTTTCATGATTTTCTTTGTCCAAAAATTTTAATTTATATTTTTTTTTAATTTGCAAAAAATATTATTCTTTTATTTTTTTTTTTCAGTTATTTTGATTTTTAAAATAATATCATTTTGAGGTTAACAAAATTTAAAATTTCATTGAAAGTAAAAAATTTATTTTTTTAAGGGAATTTTTATTTTTTGATTGTTGATTTTTTTGAAATTTTTTTTTTTTGTTTAAAATTTCCAATTTTTGAATTTTTTTTTTTTTAATTTTACAGAAAATAATTTATATAATATTTTTTAAAAATAAAAAATAAAAAAGAAAAAAAAAATTTTCTTTGAATTTATATATATATTTCTGTAAAAAAAAATAAATCTTCTTCAAATTATTTTTTTTTTTTTTAAATTTTTAAATAATTAAAAAACTTTCCAAAAATTCTTTTTTTTAAATTGTTTTTTTTAAAAAAATAAAGGCATTCCCTTTTTATATTTACATTTTTAAAATATTATATATTTAAATTTAAGATTTTATAAAAAAGAAATATTTATTTTGAATCATCCTAATTTTAAACTTTTTTTAAAAATTATAATTTTTATTGACATTTTATATATTTTTTTTTTTCCCTATAAATTATAATTTTATTAATATTATTTTTTTATATTATTTATTAAATTAAAATTTTTTTTTTATAATTCTTCATATTTCAGATTTATTTAATTAAAAATTTAATTTGTTTTTTGAATGAATTTAAATTTTTTTATATTTAATTTTATGTTATATAATAGAAATTTTTCCATGGAATTTGACTTTTTTATTTGTGTTTTTTATTATATATATAAATATTTATAAATATTTATATTTATATATTTTTCAAAAATATATTAAAAATGTTTTTAGCATCAGATCAATTTAAAACAAACCTTTTTCTTTTATTTATTTTTCTATTTGAATGAAAATTTTATATATTTTAAAAATTCTAAAAATTAATAAAAAATGATTGTTTTTTAAATTTTAGTTTTTGAATTTTAAAATTTTTTAAAAATTAAAAAAATCATTTTAATTATTAAATTAAATCACATCTATTTTTTATTTAAATTTTTTAAATATGAAAAATTTTTATTTTTTAAAAAAAAATTAAAAAAAATAAATTGTTTTGATGAACAAAAAAAAACATAATTTAAATTTAAAAGAAAAAAAAATTAATTTTTCAAAATTTTTAATATAATTGTTAATATTTTTACCAATTAAAATTAATTTTCTTTTCCTAAATTATACTAAATATATTTTTGAATTTTCTCTTTTTTTTTTCAATTTAAAATTTTAAATTTTTTTTAAATTTTTTGAATTTAATTTTTAATTTTTTTTTTTATTTTTATTGAATATTTAATTTTTACATATCTTTATAAATTTTAAAAATATTTTAAAAAAATCATGAATAAAAATATTTATTCTTTAATTTAAAAAAAATAAAATTTAATTTTTCTAATAATAATTTAATTTCATTTTAAATTCATTTATAATCTTTTCATTCAAATTTTGAATAAATTTAATATTTAATTAAATTTTATTTTTTTATTTTTTTTTCCATATTCAAATAAATAATGTTTTTTTTTAATTTTTAAAAATTTTTTTAATTTTTAAATTTCTAATTAAAGAAATTTAAAATCTAAATTATATATTTTTAATTTTTAAAATTAAAAATTCTAAAATTTATATTGTTTTGATAAATTCATTTTTTAATCACATAATTTTTTTTTTTATTTATATTTCTTTAAAATATATTTATATATATATATATATATAATATATAATTTAAATTTCAAAATTTATGTATGAAACAATTGATTCAATTTTTTTTTTTTAAAAATTTTTTATTTTGTTTTTTGTATTTTTAAATTGATTTATTTATCTAATATAATTTTTATATATCTATTTTCAACTAAATATCATCTTTTTATATAAAAATTTATAAAATATAATTATTTTAGCATAATTCATTTCTTTCTTTTTTTTTTTTTCATTTTCATATTTTTTTTTATTTTTTTCAGACATTTTAAAAATTTTTTCTTTAATTTATTTAAAAAAATCAATTTAATATTTTTCTAAAATATCATCATAAAATTCAATTATTTTAATTAACAAAATATTTATATATATTTCATAAAAATAAATAAATAAATAAATATTCTATTCCTGTTTTTCTCTAAAAATTTTATAAAAAAACTTATTGTTTTTTTTTATAAATATTTCTTTAAAAATATATTAAAAAAAAAAAAATATAAATAATTTAAAATTATATTCTTAATATTTTTTTATAATTTTTTTTTTTTAAATTTAAATAATTGTTTTTATGATTTTTTTTTTTTAACTTTTTTTTTAAAAAAATAAAATCCTTTTTTTTTTTATATTGCAAAATATATTTTTTAATTTTAAATAATATTTATAATAAGAAACTTATTCTTTTCAATATAAATATATATATATTTATTATTTTTTGAATAATTAATTTTATGTTTTAAAAATTTTTTTTTCAAAAAATATTATATTTCATCTAAATTGTTTTTTGGTTTAAATATATATATTATTATATATATTAAATTTTATTGTTCATATATATATATATTTTTTATTTTTTTATTGTATATTTGAAAATTTTCAATTTATTAAAATAAAAAAAAATAAAAAAAAATAATTTAAAAAAAAACAAAATTTTATTAAAAAAAATTAGATAAAAATTTAATTTTTAAAAATTAACAATTTTTTTTTTTATTTTTTTATATGTTTTCAATTTTTTAACAAATTTTGAAATTTTATTTTTATTGAAATTCAAAATTTTTATTTTTAATTCTTTTTTGAAAAATTTAAATATTTATTCTTTAACATTGAAAAAAAAACTTTTTCCATCCAAAAAAAATTTTTTTTTTCATTATTA